CTTCCATTGGTTGGTTGGACATTTTAATATATTTGAAAAAAATTAAACAAGTTTCAATTAAATTAAATCAAATAAAATTAATTTTTTTTTGATAACAAGTCTGGTATTTATAATGACAATTTTTTAATTGCATGTGTGACAAATTTTAATTTTAATTAATTTATTTCGTGCACACATGATTATGGTGTAACATTACACCCTCCCGCTGAATTTTCAACACTGGTGATTTGTTTAAAAATGCAATAAAACTTTTAAAAAAAGGTTTTTCGCGTGATTTTGGTCCCTTCCTGTCAAATTTAGATATGATTGATGAGTATTAGTCTAAATTTAGTAACGATGAACGAAAACTAGTCTAAATTTAGCAATGATTCTAGCGCTCAAATTCCTTGTGAGCATAGTACAAATAATTTTTTTGAGAAAATCTCTATTACATTAAATTAAAGACCTATTCCATCAACTAATAAAGCTATTTTTTTAAAAGGTGGGACAGAAAATGACTTCTATACTTTTAAAATTTAGGAGGTCTTTAAACTGAGCCAACTATAGAAAGCCATTATTTAATTTCTGTTTTGTATGGTGCAGGTCACTCACTACATATGTAAACTCACCCAATAAGTTGGTTTACTTGATAAGGGCGCTGACATATATTAGCTAATATTTTAGGGAGTGGGGGGATAACAGAAAATCTTAGGTCACACAATCTCATAAATGACGTGATCATAATGGCTTCAGTGAAAAATCTGCATTTTTATAACTTTGAATGTAAGTGTTTCAATTTAGGAATGATCTACATGCAAACCAATTGTCATTTACAAAAAAATTGTATCACACTTTTTGTCTACAGGATGATATGGCAATTAATTCTCACATTCTCATATACATAAATGCTATAATTAATCATTCTTTATCTGATATACATTTCCTTAAATATATTTTGTCAAAAAGAGGCCACTTTTGTTGTGATTGAGAAGAGAGAAATCATCAAGAATCCTTGAGTTTTGTTCTTTAGATTTTCCTTTAGCAGGATGTATTGTTTATAATTTTCAAATAAGTAAGAGTTATTACACTCAGAACCAAATAAGTTGTTTTGTCAAGAAATAGCCAATGCAAATCATACCCAGAAATTCCAAGAGAACATAATATATTATAAAGGAAAATTTATTGCTCCAATGTTGCTTGATTTAATAATAAAATTAATTCTTTTTTTGCTTGTGCTTTGTTGATACCTAAAAAGGCAAATGATTGTCATGAACATGATCAAAATGTCTTACCTGAGGGTGGGGGAGTAAGTGCTACTATTAAAATGATA